CCCCCCCCCCCGCATGCCTTCGCCTGCGCCTGGCACCCATCCTGCGCGCGCCAATCACAGACGCCCCAGCAAAATTTGCCTGCACCATGCCGGCACCAAATGCTGGGCGCAGCGCAACTCTAGCCCAGCGCCATGCGCCATGCACAGGATCTGGCGGCCACGCGCACCTGCTGCGGCACTGGCGCCCCCTCCTCGGGCTCCTGCGGCTGCCCCGCCTTCGCCGGCCCCCCGCCCGCCGCGCCCCGCTGCTGCTGCGCCAGCTGCGCCGCCTGGTGCGCGGCCAGCTGCCGGGCCAGCTTCCCCTTGGCCGCCGCCACCCGGTTGGCGGCCGACACGGCCTGCTGGTTCTGCAGCCGCTGGCACTCGTACTTGTGGCCGCGGTTCCAGTCCTGGCGCTGGCAGCTGGTCGAGCTGCGCGCACGGCGGGGGTGAAGGCGTGAGCGCGAGCGGGGCGGCCGGGTGCATGACAGGTGGACGAACGATAGGGATGGAGCGCGCGACAAGCCTGTTAGCTGGGCTGCTCGACCTGGGCGCCTCTGCCGGCCCCGCGGCTCACCAGTAGCTGACCGCCTTGCACTTGCTGCATCGTGTCGTCGTGGGCGCCTGGCACGCGCGGCAGCGCGAGCCGCCCACCGACATCGCCACCATGGGGTCGCCGCCGGCGAGGCCGCCCTTGTCGCGCGGGTGCTGCTGCTGCTCGTGCGTTAGCTGCTGCAGCTGCTGCCGTTGCTGCTGGTGCAGCTGCTGGTGCGCCTGCTGGTGCCCGTGATCCGCGCTGCTACTCCCGCCGCCCCCCGCGCCGCTGCTGGGGCCGCGCGCCGCCTGCGCCGCCGCCGCTGCCCGGTTTGTGAGCGCGCGCTGCTGCGCCTCCCACCACGGCTCGCTCGGCCGCGATTGCAGCACGGCAGAAGGGAAGCTGCTGACTGAGGCGGTGGCTGGACTCCTGTACTCTGAATGAAGCCACCGAACCCTAAAGAGGTGAGAAGGGCGATGCCAGGGCTTTGCGGGTGACGCCGCTGGTGACAACAAACATGCGCACGGGGAGGCGCACCCGGAGCGCCCTTTGCAGGGTCTCACGGCACAGACCAGGCTTTGAATCACGATCCAAACCGGGGGGCGGGGAGCCATGTGTGCGGCCGTGGCCCTGGGCATGCGCTGCGCGTTGAGATGCATGGGAACGCATGCGGCGCCCTCCCCGCTCGAGCTGGAGTGCGCCTTGCCGCACACGGGACTCACAGGGCCAGAACGATGCCCACTGCTACCAGGACGCTCGCTGGGGCGACTATCAGGACGGGAATCATCTAGCAGCTGCCCTGAGCGGGGTTGGTGAGGGCCTGGCACCTGAGGGCACCCCTCACGATCTGAGGGCCTGGCAGCATGCCGCACTCAATCCACACGCTGGACACCCAGACCACGTCGCAGGAGGCTGCCCTGGTGGCGAAACTATACGAGATGTTCTAAGATGATGTCGTGCCCTATGGCTGTCAAGTGTGCTGCGCATACAGAAGTATTATATTGTGATGAGAGCATAATCCCAAGTACACCCTCTGGTGGGCATGCACGGAAAGCGGGTTGGTGGGCGCGGCACCTGCTGCACGACAGGTTTTGATCCGAACCCCACGACAATCGACCTGCCCAATAATTCTGTTGTGCAGGTTAAGCTCATGCGTAGGATGATACCGGTACCTCACTTAGACGGCCAACTGCACCCAACAGATTGAAGGCCCCGTTGACATCTCGAAAGTACTCGTAGGGTCAGCCACGCGTTCTGAGGAACTGCCGACAGCCGCCTGATTTACATATACACGACCTTAGGAGCGGCTGCAGCCGGGTTGCAGCCTGCCCAGGGAGATGGCCACCAGCGCGCCGCATCCAGCGGTGCGCTGCTCGCAAGCTTGGGCTGCGTGCGCCGAGCCTGGAGCCCCGGAGCAGCAGGACGTGTCATGGTCGCAGCTGCCAGACGCAGTGTTAGAGGTGATGGCGCCTGACTCCACGCCCGTATCCGCGCCGAGCACAGCGGCATCGCGCCTGCCCCCACCGCCATTGTTCGTCGCATGCCCGCGCGTGCGAGGTCCCGTGCGCAGCTGCCGGCTTGCATCCACGGTCCTTAATATATCATGTACTTATTTGCAGGTTATTGGTGGCTCGTTTCGCGACCCCCGGGAGCTGGAGGGGGCCAGCCTGGTGTGTAAGGGCTGGCGCAACGGCTTTGCGTCGGGCATGCCGGGGATCGAGCTGACTGTGCATCGGGACGCGGAGCAGTGGTGGGTGGCGACCCAGGGCCTGCCGTGTCTCGGTGGTTGGGGCTGGGTGGTCCGTCACGAAGCCCTCAGAGTGACGGGATGCACGCTGGTTGAAAGCGGGAGTCCCACAGCGCATGTGCCCATGGCCACAAACTCCCTTCTGTTGTGTGGGCCCTTTGGTAAGAATCACCCCTTCCCCGACTGAGGCCGCTTGCGCCCGCACCCGCCCGACGCCGGAACCGCGGGCGCAGGCGCAACCGCGTCGCGCGGCTGCGGCAGCTGCTGCCCGGCCTGCGGCGCTGCAAGGCACACGTGGGCGCGGGCGTGTCGGCGGCGCTGCCTGGCGCCATATCCGCCCTGGCCCAGGAGCTGCAGTCTATGGAGGTGCGTGCCTCTGTCAGGGGTCCCCTGTAAAGCCCACCCGGCGAGGTGACGTACCGCTGGCTTCACCCCCCAATGGCCCACTCGGACGCGAATGGTTCTCTGCCAGTGTGGTGGCAGTTGTGTGACGGCCACGTGGAAACCCCAGAAATTCCGTCTCCCTCTCCCCTCCCCCTCGCGCCATTCCCAAAGCATCTTGAGCTGCACCTGGGGGAGGGCTGCCAGATCACGCTGGAGACAGGCCTGGAGTTTTCAAACCTCAGGTGGGGCTTTGGGCCATCCACCACGTCACGCGTACGGGTGGTCCCCGCTGTGCGGGAGCCTGCCAACTTGAATTGCATGGGGTTGGCTGGTTTGCCGCGGGCGTCGCTGTATCAGCAGCAGTCAGCTGCCATCAAGAAGCAAACCTGTACGCATGTGCCAACGTCTCCTCGCCCACGAGCGAGCACACACATACATCCACACTGTGCGGTCACACACACGTCCAGGTGCCTGCGCAGCCTGACCCTCCGCGGCGGCACGTTTGCCCCCGCCGACATGGCTCTGCTGCTGCGCGGCCTGGCTGTTGCCTGCCCCGCCCTGGAGGAGCTGCGGGTGCTGCCGGAGGCGCTGTGTGGCCTGGGGGATGACGAGATGCCGCTGCTGGCGGCAATGAAGGGGCTCAGGGTGGGTGAGGGGGCGGGTGAGAGGGTGCGGGCGGTCAGGCCCTGCGGCGGCCTCCCTGGTGCTGCTGGCCAGCAGCCATACAACTTCTGTATGTGGGGAAGTTTCAGTTACGGTGAATGAGTTTTGAGCCAGGACAGCATGCAGGCTGCTGTGCCTGCTTCTCATCCAGCTTCTGTCCAAACATTCTGACGCACGGATGCTGCCCAGGGGCTCCCAGCCGCAGAGTGGACGTCAGCCTATGCCCCCCTGCTGTCATGCGCTGCGCCCTCCTCCCCCTACACACTCCCCAGGTCATCGAGTTCCAGGCGTATCGCCTCACGGGCGCGGGGCTGCTGAAGCTCACATCCCTGCCACAGCTGGAGGTGTGTGCGCGCACATGCGTCCAGTGGGGTGGGCAGCACCGCGGGCGCCACAGGGCACATGAAAGCGGGGGCGGCGGCGGAGGGCGTGCAACCAGATGGTCGTCACGGCGTGGTTTGATGCGTGCACTTGACATGATGCAGTGGCGCGTGGGCGCCCACTGCTGCATGCGGTACGATGCGCGCGCTCATGGCATCCACCCGCGCGCCGCTGGCCCCTGGGCTGGGCAGTCCCTGTCCGTGCAGGGCATGGACTGCCTGAGCGGCCTCGATGCCCCCTGCTTCAAGCTCTGCCCGTCCCTCAAGCACCTGTCCCTCGGCTGCGACTACGTGCCGCCGCCCGGTGAGGAGGGGACCCGGGCCTGGGCATACGCGCAGCAGCCGAGGCCGGCGCTGCAACATCAGCAGAACGCCGGCCTACCGCGCCAAGCGCGGCTCGACGGGAGGAGCCCGTCGCTCGCTCTGGTTGCCACTTTCCCCTGAGCGTAGCCCTGCACCCGCGTTGATCCTGTGTTGCAGACGTGGTGGCGCGGCTGCGGGAGATTGAGGGCCTCACCATGGCCTTCAGGTCAACTGACAAGGTGGCAGGTAAGCACGCAGCGGTGGGAAGAAACTTTCGCAACCTGCAGGCCGGCTCGTGAAGTCTGCAAGCTGGACGTGTCGGCTGGGGCCGTTGGCGCGCCTGGAAAGGCCAGCTGGGCGGGCTGCAGCTTGTCTGTTTCTGTCGCGGCTGCTCGCCTGCCGTGCGGCTGCGAAATGTCGGTACTCAACCCTGAACATGCTCTCCTGCATTCGTTGGCTCATCGCATGTCGTGCACCCCGGCCTGCTCAGGCCTGCTGCGCACGCTGTCGATGCACCTGACTTCGTCGCTGGTCAAGCTGGACATGGGGGTGGTGCGCATCATGCGCGAGGAGGCGCTGGAGGGCATCACACAGCTCAACAGGCTGACAGACCTGCGGCTGGCTGTCACGGTGTGTGTTTTTGTGTATTTGTGTGTGTGCATGTGAGAATGAAGGGGATGATTGCCCCTGCCAGAGCATTCCAAAGCTGCTGTTTTCCCTTGCAGGGTGTGCATGCGTTCCCGCTTAGCACCACCGGCAGCGCAGCAGACATGTCACACTCGCACCGGCACAATTGTGCGATTGGGAGAGACGCGGAGAATCTGCTGCGCAAGCCCCATTTGTCGGCAGCTTTTAGTCACGGCCACCGCCCCGTGCTCAAGGTAGCTGGCCCCACACGCCCCAGCCCCACCAAACACAAACACACACGCACATACACACACACACACACACACGTGCCACATGCAGGGCAACAGCGATGAGCCAGTGACGCTGCGGCTGGACCAGCTGGCGCCACTCAGCAACCTGCAGGTGGCTGGGGGACGCAGAAGTGCGCTGCTCTTCTTGTCCTCAACCCACCCTCTCCCTTGCCTTACCCATGGCCTTTGCATCGACTAGAGGGATGTGCGCTCTGCCGGATGTACGCTCCGCCCTAGTGCTTGCCTCGCCGCCGTCCGCCCACGAGCCCGCGCCGAGCGTGCTGCCACTCTACGAGCCATGAGCGCACCCCTTGCCCCACCCCCACCCAACAGGTGCTGCACGTTTGCAAGGGCACCGCCTACTTCCCTGACCGCCGCCGCATGGGCGAGGCGTCCGTGCGCATACCCGTCGACGCCGCGTCGACCGAGGCGCTTGCGGCGGCGTGCGGGCAGCTGCGGTCGCTGCGGCTGTCGCTGGGCGCTGGGGACGTGCTGCCAGAGGGCCTCGCGCGCCTCAGCATGTTCTCGCAGCTTGACTGGTGCGCCGGCCGCAACGCCGGGTGTTTCACAGTCTTGCATGTGCCCCTTGCGATCTGTTTTGATGTCCAGCTGTCATGTTTGATTTGAAAGGGTCAGGGAAGCTGCGCAGGCGGCTTTGGATCACTATAGCTGGACTGGTTGTCGCAGCACTCCTTGACGCTCTGATTTCTGATCCTAATCCGCGCTCACGCCCGCGCGCGTCAGCCTGTCGGTGCACGCGGAGTCGTTCAGCGCCCCCGCGCCGGCCGTGCCCCTGTCGCTGGCGCACCTGCCCGCCCGCCTGACCAGCCTGGAGCTGCGGCACGTCGAGCTGTGCGGGGACCCGCAGGGTGGGCAGTGCGGAGTCCTCCCAGCTCCCAAACGCTGGCTCGCCTGCGCCGCCAGCACCTGTCCACACGCATCCTACACGTTTTGAATCTGTTGTCAGCCAGTTTGCCAGCAAGTGCCGCCAGGGTCGCGTCAGGGACCGGTGTTTGCTGCATGAAACAAACATTTGGTCAGCCTGCTGCGTGATGCTTGGGAGGTGTCGAGGCACAGGCCCACTCTCGCGCCCACGAAACGTCGCTCAACCCCTCCCCACGCC